TGGATCAGAAATATTTCAACACCATTACAACTAGTGATAGCTCCTTGAAGAGGGATAGACCCCTGCTGCTTTAAGTCTCAAGGATTGAGGTACTCAATTCTCTCATTCATAATAAATTTCCAGATAAGAAGAGCCTTATTATAAACTGACCTAGGATTAAACCAGGGATGATATTCAGCAGGTTCTGACAGGTTCTGGAGAACTGGTAGCGGAAATTTTGAGTAGTTTGGAAAACCAGCAAATACCACCTCTGGCTGGCCCTAGAGTGGGGTGGGAATGGAGATTTTGCAGTATCCTTCCCCTGCCATGTCCACCAAGCCACACCATGCCCACAAACCCACGCCCACAGAACCAGTAGTAAAAAAAAAAATTGAATTCCACCACTGGATTAAACAACAGGAATCCAAGCCCAGGGCCTACAGTGGATTTATTGAGCAGGCATTGGGGTAGGTAATAGCTAGAAGGTAATAGCTGTGTAAAATATCAAATACACCTTTCAAATAATATCTCCCTCTACCATCACTACCAGAATGTTAGTGCCTGTCCAATTCACATTCTCTCCCCCTCCCATATCAAACTAACTCACAAACTCTGTCGTCCCTTCCCCAGATCCAGGGTTTCCATCAAACATCTATGGGTCATCAGTAGCTTCCAGAACTTTAGTTCATCTCTACTAGTAGACTCAGGGTATCTGTCAAAATCTATAAATAATGTTTTGATAAGCATTCTAAAGCAAGTTCAGCAAACTAAATCAGCCAACTAAAATTTAAAATAATCAAAGCATGCTAGGTCAGACTAAGGTGCATTTTAATACAATATGCCTCTCTGATTTCTTTCCCCAATTTAAAAATGTCCTATGTTTACAAGTTGTAATTTACATTTGTGTGCAATATTGCCTCCGATAATAATTCTATGGAATAATCTATTCTTTCAAAGTTTGCTAGAATTTATGCCCTCCTTGATATAAACCCCCCCCCCACCAATGTTTGTCATTCTCATATAATTTGTATCCAAGAATGACTGTATTCTATTAATTATCTCAGTTTCTATTATACCCCCTATATCTATCAACTTGTTCATAGTCAAGTCCTCTTAATTTAGCACAGAGATGCTATCTCATTATCATTCTATCTATCTTGATTTAATAAACAGAAAAAGAAAAAGTTATTGAAAGTAATATTTACCTTAACAATATGTCCCAAAGATGCTTTTTCAAGAGGCAACTGGACTTTCTGATTTTTCTTTGAAGACATTTAACTTTTCGTCCAAGAAGCTTCAGAGCTGAAGAAGCTTCTTGGATGAGAAGCAAAATGTCTTTTTCAAAAAAAAGAAAAACCAGAAAGCCCAGTTGCCTCTTGAAAAAGCTCCTTTGGGACAACCATGACCTGGATGATTGAGAATCTCCATATACCATAACAATACAATTTTATTTTTATTTAAAGTACATTTATTTTTAAGTGTATTGCTATTTTGCAGTCCATATGCCTCTTGCAGTAACTCAGATGGTTTAAAAACTTGATTACCATTAAGTTGATCCAATGCATTAGTCCCCTTGTTCACCTACAAAGAAAATTTTCAGAATGGGATTACTCCAAAATGTTATCTTATCATGCAGATAATAATCAAATGTACATGAATGAAAAATTGAATGAATGAAAACAAGTGAATGTTTTCAAAATACATCTTGCAGCTTTTAATACAGGAAATGTAGTCAAGCTATTGTTAAAAGTGAAGCCAATACCGTACTAATTAGAAGTCAAAGTTTCTATTTGTGCCAATGATTTTTTTTAACTTGATCATTTGTATTTCATAAAGACATTAATCTAAAAATATATGCTTAGTTATAAAGTTGAAAATCAAGGCAGTTAAATACAATGGTCATAATTTGCATATTGCAGGCCATTCTTTGCACCTTTCCATATCTGTGTGCTTTGACTCCCAGAATTCTCTGACTAGCCATTGTTCAGATGTTCTGGGAGTTGAAGTCCAAAGATAAGAAAGCTGTCAAGGTTGAGAATTACTGGTCTTATGCAAAAACTAGGAAACATCATTCTTTCCTGGAAATAATAGTACTTATTATTCATAACTTGGTATTCTTTTGTCTTAAATGATCCTATTTTTGGTGCCTTGTTTTTTCCCCCACTATCTCTAAACTCACCTTTATTTTTGTTTTGTGCTGTTCTCAGCCACTGCACAGTCCTGTTTGTATCTGCCCTCCTGACCGTTTAAAAGCTCACAACTGTCTTTCTTCTTTCCAAAGACTGCTGATTAGAGATATTGGCAGAGAAGTAAAACCCCATCCATTAGTTAATTACTCAATCAGTGAATTCCCTACTTCTGTAAGGGAATTCTTCTTCCCTCAACTATGAGAAACATAAACACACTGAGCCAGGAAAAAAAAATCAAACTGAAATGAATCAAGATATAACTGGTTCACTGCTTTCTACCCATGTATTTTGCTTGAGGGGATAAGGAACATACTAGGGACGCGGTAGCTCAGTGGCTAAGATGGTGAGCTTGTCGATCAAGACCATTGAACTGTTGGCAGTTCAGTGGTTCGAATCCCTAGTGCTGTGTAACGGGGTGAGCTCCTGTTACTTGTCCCAGCTTCTGCCAACCTAGCAGTTCGAAAGCATGTAAAAAATGCAAGTAGAAAAATAGGGACCACCTTTGGTGGGAAGGTAACAGCGTTCCGTGCGCCTTTGGCGTTTAGTATGCTGGCCACATGACCACGGAGACGTCTTCGGACAGCGCTGGCTCTTCGGCTTTGCAACGGATATTAGCACTGCCCCCTAGAGTCAGGAACGACTAGCACATATGTGCGAGGGGAACCTTTACCTTTACCTTATAAGGAACATGGAAGGGGAAAACAACTTTTTAAGGAAGATCTAGGATTTTCATTTCTAGAAAAAGATCTGCCACCACATCCTTCAAAATAATGGGGACCAACCAATAGGAATAGTTGCCCAGAGTCACTATTGATGATGAGATAAGCAGTATGTAAATTTAATAAATAAATATTCTCTCCTAACATAGAGATGCTTCATGGAACAGATAGCACCCCTGCTTCCTGCTCAGTATCTTCTCTATATATATCCTCAGTCAAAAATTAACACACCAATTACAAATGATATTTCTCCAACATATTGTCAATATTCTCAGAAAATTATTTACTCCGCTGCTACAAGATACCAAAGGAATATTCTTTATTTCAAATTGCATGGCCGGAGATCTCTACGCCTTGCCCATCCTCCATATTAAGAACTTTTTGGAGCAGAAGACGTTGCCAAATCATATTTCTTGGATTGGTAAAGTTCATTTCTCCTAAACTTTAGGATACAGAGCACAGCCACCATTGTTTGTCACCAAAACCATAAGGGAGTGAACCTAGCAAGTCTATAAAATGCAGACGACCTTTGTCCTTTCCTGCCAGTTTTGCCACAATACTCTGTCCAAGGTCCTGATTGATCCTACCTTGTCAAATTTGGAACCTTCTCATGAAGATTATCTTCAGTCTGATCTGATCTTGTGGAATATGCATCTGCCTTTTTCCTGTTACATTGCCTATCAGAAATGTAACACATACAGGTTCTTCTTCTGAAAACTCAGAAGAAAAACAAGTCATATTTATTGATCATGTTGGGAAACCTATTTGAGAGGAACTACTCATTGTCTGATGATTCTTCTTGAATAGAAAAAGCAAGGATTTTTATGTAATCATACTTTAAGTACCTTTAAAGAATTGTGTATTAATTTCAATACTGAGAAAGATATCTCTTTCTCAAAAGTAATCTCTTATCTCAAGAATTATTCTCTCCCTCATCAAATCCTATACTTAGATTGGATTTCCATGATCTCAGATCTCCATGAATATGGAGACATAAACCAGAGATTTTCTAGAATTTTTAAAAAAGATCTAGTAAGTACTCTATGCATTCATTGTATAAATATTTTAAAACGTAGGTGAGTGAAAGATGCAATAATCTCCACAGTGAAATCGTAGATGATAAAGGTGACAGAGTTAGCAAAGATGATGAAATTGACTCTTTTAATTTTTTTAAAAGATATCTAGCTTTGTTTCTCTTTGGAAACAAAAGACTTTTTTTTTTTGCTAAAAACTAAAAAAAATGAAGCATTTTCATTTTAAGTTTGGATGATTAGAATGATTTTGTAATTATAGAAATGGCTTGAAATCTTGTGAAATGTAAAATAAAAGAATGATGTACTATTATGTAATCTATCACACCCCCCAAAAAATTGATGTCTTTATCTTTCCTCTCTCTTTTCCCATTCCTTTTTTCTATTCTAACTTTCACTTCTTCTATATTTTTATATTATAATGAAATTCAATAAAATCCTATTACAAAAAAAAAAAATCCTAAGTAGGTGCATGTTAAATATACAGGGAATTCTAGCTACATTTATTTATCTATTTGTTTATTACTGATAAAAACTATTATCCACTCTTCTTTATAAACATAATTTCAAGATTTCACTAGTATGTTATGGTTCATAAGCAAATAATAGCCTTTTAATTCATTTTTCTGTGACAGCCATAGTGGAAAATAAGAGTTATCTGGCTTTTCACCTATGGAGGAACAATCTACCATGTACACAAAAGCTTTCTGTGTCGTAGCATTAGCCACCCATAAATATATGGGCCTAATTTCCTCAGCTGTATGGGCGGATAGATTATAAAATCAAACCATTGTCTTAAAAAAATAGTGGGATCTCAATTTTTCTTGTTTCTTATTCATATAACCTTAGTTGTCAAATTGCAGAGGAACAATCATGGGTACCTCCAGGGCTCATGAGTTACCTATCACTCTAATGTAATTTCTGAAGCAATTTTTGATATACAAAGCAGAGAACCATTAAAATCATATATACACTAGATGGCTATTTGAGGCATGCATGTTTGCATGCTATATACTGTAGATGTGATAAAGTAATATTATGATAGCCAAATAAACATGGCTTTCTCTCCCACTTCTTTCCAGATCCAGTAAGAGGATAACCTTGTGGATGGCCCTTGAGTAAGCCAGATGGAACAGGATAGAACTAATCATGATGAAGGCAATAGTTTAAATCCTTTTTTAATTCCACATCCTTCTCGTGTTTGCCAAGCAGAGCCTTTGTCAGTGAAGCTGCATAATGGAAACACAACAGCGGGAAAGATCTACAATGAACTGAATGGTAACCCTATGTGGCTGCATGGGAAGGCCAGCTATGGAATGAAGCATCCTGCAAAAAGGAATGAGAGTAATCGAATAAGCCCTGATCTTCTTCAGCAAAAGAAACATTGCAGCCGGTATTTGCCAAATGGTGGGATAAAACGCACTTTTAGTGAGCCTTCTTTGTACGGACTTCACCTGAACAAGAAGCTTAAACAAGATGAAGAAGTAAAAACAGGGCAAGATAGCTCATTCGCTGTCAGCAACCAAGCAGGTGCTTCTAATTTGTGCAGTGAGAAGAGTGTTGTGGGTTTTGGAACAGAACAAAGTACAGCTTCATTTCTTATACAGTCTTTAAGATGCAACTCTGGTGCTTCAGAAACTCCTCCAGCTCCCCAGATTCAGAATGAACAAGGGGATGAAAATAGCAACTGCCACAACAGGGACATTGACATGGCATATAAGAACAAGGCAGCTCCAATGCCTAACGGTGCTATAGTTTCTGCCTCTTCCATGGGAAACATGCATGGTAAATTCCTGGAAAAAACGTCGTCTCAGTATAATCCAGAACATGTTTTCAGTGGAACGCAGACAACTACGTCTTTTACAAATGCCATAAACACTCGGGCTATTAATGTGTTGACATGTGGCACATCACATTTACTGCATACCTCAGGGCAGATAAGTTCCGCTCAAACCTCAAACTCTGAGCTGCCTCAGGTGCTAGCTTCTGTAGCTACTGAAGTCCACAGTATAGAAAACTCCACTAAAGGATCCATCATACAAGCAAGCTCCAATTTTCATCATCCAGAAGTAATGAACTCAGAGCAGCAAAAGTCAGAAAATACCTACCAGCCACCTACAAACAGCCGTGTAGTTTCAGAAAACACAGGGCAGGTCCCCAGTCAGGATTTCTCACTCAATCCTTTCAACAATCTGAAGACTCATGATAGTAGCTCAGAGATTTTGTCACAACCAGGAGAAGAAACCGATGCTTCCTTCCAACAAGATTCCATGTTCAGGAATGATTCTTTTAATCTACCCCCTATTGCATCTTCTCCTGGGCAGGAAATAAACAGTGAGGCTTCAGAAGATCCTAGAAATATTTACAATCTAATAGAAAAAAATAACAGAGGGCAACCACATCATCAGGGAGAACATACAAAAAAAAATTCTGGCTTTTGCCAACAAACTCCCAGTTCTCAACAGGGTCATGAATACAAGATTCAGGTTTCACAAGCAACTGGGAGTGAAACAGATGTCAATCTCAGTACAGTGATATTGGGAATAAAGCAGCAAGATCCTAGTGAAATTCAGTCCAAACTGGAGTCTAAAATTCAGGATCCACAAAGATTAAGAACCAGTAAAGAACTGCAACATTTTCCACATCTTCTGAGCCAGATTAATCAGCAGACTACTCTTGATAATGACAAAGATCTGGTGAAAAATCACTTAGAGCAGTCACAAATCCGCTCACAAGCTTCTTGGATGAGAATGAGTTCCCCTCCCTTTAACCCCAGTGATTCTTCCCCAAAATCAAATGAAAATCTTTTGAGGACCATGCTTCAACTCCAGGCAAATTCACCTGAGCAGACACATCCAAAACAATATATTAGAGGTTCCAATGAATCAAAAGGAGTCATAGGGCAATCTTGCTACCAGAACATTATACAGGGTGAGCAAGTACCAGCACTATTCAAAAGTGAAGGAGCACAACCATCTCATCATTTTACTCCTGATTTGCAAATCCCATTCCAAAAACACTCACCACAATCCAAAAAGATGAATGATCAGCAGCAAAATTCAAGGCACTTTAATCTTCAACCACAATCTCAACTCCACCTTGAACAGACTTTGGAGGCACAGTTAAAGCCTCAGCACTTAGATCTTCCATTTGAAGATGACCAATTCATACATTCACAAATTTTGCCTCCAATACTCCAGACACAGCCAATACAACCACCACAGAATTCACAAGTAACAATGAACTCCACACAACAAATAAAAACCACAAAATTGCCACAAATCTTTCCCCGGTCAAGCAACAGCCAAGAACAGCAAGGGGAAAGAACATCCTTAAATCACCTAAAATTAGAAGAGTGCTTTGAAGAAGCAAGTAATTACTTCAAATCAGTTGAGTTCCCAGTACAAGTTCCCCAGACCAGAGTGGACCATATTTCAAATACAGTCAACAAAAACTCCCATTATAATCAGACAAATGATGTAATGAAGCATTCCTGCTCAAACATGCACTTGGTTTCTGAGAAAAAGGAAGATCCCATAAACACAGACCTCTTAACTCAAAATATGTCTCGCAACTTGCAGCACATGCAATATTATCCAAATAGTATAACTCCTAAACAAGATCTGCCCCAGGGCTTTCAGGAACAAAACCCTCCATCTCCACCAACTTCATTTCTACAGCTGCCCTTCCAGCAAACACAAGAATACTGTAACATGACTACCAACATGAATAGCTCACAAGCTAATCAGATTCAGCAAAGTTACTCATCCTACAATCAGCAAGCAGATCAGAGTCATGGCCACTGTCCTCCCTCCCAACCTCACAAAGATTTTCAAAAGCATGCTGCTATTAGATGGCATATCTTGAATAAACAAGCTAACCAAAATAAATCTGAGTCATGTCAAGCTATGGGCTTCAAATCTATCAAAACTGAAACTGGCTCAAAGGTGAATGCTTGCCTTCCTACACAGGTTGGACAGTTGGAAACCAAACCATGGAAGAAAGCAATTAAACAAGAGGTTCAGCACTTTGGATGTGAGAACATGCAACAAAGGAGTATCATTGAAACCATGGAGCAGCAGTTGAAACAGATTCAGGTCAAAACACCCTTTGATCACAAGTCTCTTACTATCAAATCACCCAAACATGTCAAAATTGAGGCTGCGGGACCCATTACAGTTCTGACAAGGAATTTTAATGGTGCAGATTTCAACAGCCATGCGGTCTCTTTAGAACAACAACCCATTCATTCTAACGAAAGAACACCAACCAAAAGAAGTGCTGGAACAGCCCTCAATAATTTCTTGGAATCACCTTCTTCGTTACTAGATACACCTTTAAAAAACTTGCTGGATACACCAGTCAAAACTCAGTATGATTTTCCTTCATGTAGCTGTGTGGGTAAGTTTTGATTACTATTATTTACAAAATAAATAATATAAATGCTGCCAATTTTTTATAGTTTATTAAGAAAGGGTACACGGTCGCTCAGTGGCTAAGACGCTGAGCTTGTCGATCGAAAGGTTGGCAGTTCAGTGGCTTGAATCCCTAGTGCTGCATAATAGGGTGAGCTCCCATTACTTGTCCCACCTTCTGCCAACCTAGCAGTTCGAAAGCACGTAAAAAATGCAAGTAGAAAAATAGGGACCACCTTTGGTGGGAAGGTAACAGCATTCCATGTGCCTTTGGCATTTAGTCATGCTGGCCACATGACTACGGAAATGTCTTCGGACAGCGCTGGCTCTTCAGCTTTGAAACAGAGATGAGCATCGCCCCCTAGAGTCGGGAACAACTAGCACATATGAGCGAGGGGAACCTTTACCTTTACCTAAGAAAGGGTAAGCTTCCCCAGTTTGTAATTTTTTAGTTATGTTGTTAAGATACATCATGCTGTAGAACAGAAACTATTATTAAATCTTACAGATATTTTATTTGTTGTCACCATTCATCTTTAATGTTTAGGTATACAGTATAGACTATACCAAAGCTGTGTGGTATAAAACTTTTAAAACATACTGATTAATCTTTTCATTTCTTTTTTGTTTTAAACAGAACAGATAATTGAAAAAGACGAGGGCCCTTTCTATACTCACCTTGGAGCTGGTCCTAATGTTGCTGCTATTAGAGAAATAATGGAAGAAAGGTAATGAATTAGAAAAGCATGCAGAGATTAAAATTTATCCACTTTTGCATGTCAGCATTTCTTCCAATCTCTGCATAAATAACACCACCATTGCAAGCCATTATAATTATTGCTAGGTTGTCTCTTCTAGCATTACTGATCCTGATCAGAGTCTGTTTAGTGGAGAATCACAATATTAGACAGCTCTGCTTCTGGCTGTCATAAGCTGCCCACTCCAGATAGATGCCAGCAAATGCCTACACGAACAGGCACTCATTGGCCTGCCCAATAAGATGGGCAGCAGCTGGATAATGAAATCAGTGGCCAGTCTTGAATGCATAGCATAGGCACTTTAAGAAATCTCTCTCTTGAATCACAACAAAATACAAACTCTGGTTTTTCTATTTACTTTGAAGAAGTAAATGAAGAGTAAGAAGAGTAAGTAAGAAAGAAAGAAATGAGCTTAATCAATTAAAGACTTATGGATATAAATTTCCAGTGCAATTTGAAAACTCATTAATCAATAACACACACTTTACCCAGTAGTATTCTATGATTAAGTAACAATGAGAGTGCTTGTATAAAACCTGTTTGATCTATCACAGCCTTTTCCAACTTGTGCACTCTCTGTATATGATGACTTAGTTGTCAGTTCCCCAGCCAATGTGGCCATTGGTAAAATTTCTGGGAGTTGAATTTTACATGCCTGAAAAATGACTATGTTGTGTTAAGCTCAAATGAATTCTGAATCCTTGCTGTTGTTTTCCTTCAATATAAAATGTTCTGTGCTTTGGGGGAAGCTTCATTTGCCACATTGAAACATAAACTCAATTGATCTTTAAGAAGCAAAAATGTAAATGTTCTTTTTAAAATATAAATGCATATTTTTTTTTAATTTGATTTATATGCCGCCCTTCTCCGGAGACTCAGGGCGGCTTACAGTGCGTTAAGCAATAGCCTTCATACTTTTGTATATTTATACATAGTCAGCTTATTGCCCCCACAAACTGGGTCCTCAATTTACCTACCTTAGAAAGGATGGAAGGCTGAGTCAACCTTGAGCCTAGTGAGATTCGATCTTATTTTAATTGCAGACAGCTGGTGTTAAATTACAGTGCTTCTGTCTGTTGAGCTAAACCAGGCTCCTATATTTAGTAAAAACTCAAAACATTTTTGCTTTTGAAACATTTTGATTTGGTTTGGATTTGCTATTTCTTTAAAATCTGGACTAAGCCAATTAAAATACTATGGATCGGGGTGAAATCCAGCAGGTTCTGACAGGTTCTGGAGAATCAGTAGTGGAAATTTTGAGCAGTTCGGAGAACCGGTAGTTGAAATTTTGACTAGTTCGGGGAACCGGCAAATACCACCTCTGACTGGCCCCAGAGAGGGGTGGGAATGGAGATTTTGCAATATCCTTCCCCCAGGAGTGGGGAGGGAATGGGGATTTTGCAGTATCCTTCTCCTGGAGTGGGGTGGGAATGGAGATTTTGCAGTATCCTTCCCCTGCCATGTCCACCAAGCCACGCCCACAGAACCAGTAGTAAAAAAAAAATTTGGATTTCACCACTGCTATGGATAGTAAATAACCTCAATACAAGAAAGGATTTTAAGGATTTAAAGGAAAAGTTTCCCGTGTTCCTATATGGTTTTATTTATATTTATATGAAATGCATGTTCTTATATTTACTCATTTCATGATTTGATTTTTTTTAAAAAAAAAGATATGGACAAAAAGGCAAAGCCATCAGAATAGAGAAAATTGTCTACACAGGAAAAGAAGGCAGAAGTGCTCAAGGCTGCCCTATAGCTAAATGGGTAAGAATAATCTCTACAACCTTATAGAAGATATTGTTCACTTTGATAGATATAATTAGTGCATGTTGGCAAAAATAAATCTTATTTTTAAGATTTAAAAATAAATCTATTTTTAAAGAAATCATGGGAGTTAATTCAGGATATATTTTAAATAAAATATGACAGATTAATAACAGTTCTATCTTAGAAATTCTATAGAAAATGTATACCAGGATGAAATTATTGTCTTAGGTACATATCCTTTAAAAATCTGTGGACCTGCAATCTCACTATGTTATATCTTTTAAAATTATTGGTTTATTTTATCTTGCCTTTCCAAATCTGTTATTAAAATTTGAAACTCACAGCTCACAGACCTAAAGTTGGAATGAAGTCCCACAGTTAATGAACTTTTGATACCACCATTTTATCATTCTTACCTTTGAATATATAATTGGGTAGAAGATATAATGATGGGCAATTAATCCATCTGGTCCGTTGTCTTTCTTAGCTCATAGTAGCTCTTTCAAGTTGTAGGCAGAGTCTTATCCAATCCTGCTTTGAAAATTCCAAACAAGGAAAGAAACTGCAAGCAGAACCGAAGAACTATGGTATGCAAAAGATACGGAGAAATCTGGTTTACCAAAAACTAGACAAAACCATAATGTGGCCTGCTAACCTTGAACGTAAATATTTTTTTACAGAAAAAAATATATTTTTGGTATACTTTCAGGTGATTCGTCGAAATGGAACTGAAGAAAAACTTCTTTGTTTAGTGCGAGAACGTGCAGGCCACCACTGTGAAACAGCTGTGTTAGTTGTACTTATCTTGGTGTGGGAAGGAATACCTCAGAGCCTAGCAGACAAGCTGTACTCTGAATTGTCTGACACTTTAATGAAGTACGGGACACTCACAAATCGGCGGTGTGCACTCAATGAAGAGTAAGTTAAGTATGTACTTCCTTCACCTCCAGGAAGTAAAATTTTCCTATAGTTTAAATATCTATGGCATAGATCGTAATAAACATAGTTTCCCTGTTCTAGCATACAATAAATGTGTTCAAACTGCAACTCCTAATGTTCCCAAAAGCATGGCCAGATTGGCAGACAGATCTGGGACCTCCTTTCGCTGTAAAAGGAGGGTACGTAGGCATGTGTAGTGCTCAACTTACAACTGGTCACTTAGTGACTGTTCAAATTTACAACAGACCCTCCAAAAAATATGTATGTACAACCTGGTTCCAAAGTTCCAATAGCCAGCTTCTCCCCCTGCAATCACGTGACTTCCTGACAGGCATTTGACAACTGGTCCACATTTATAGACATTTGCAGTGTCTCACAGTTGTTGTTAGTTGCGATGTCGTTTTTGACCCATTGCGACCCCATGGACAACGTTCCTCCAGGCCTTCCTGTCCTCTACCATCCTCTGGAGTCCATTTAAGATCATGCCAACTGCTTCAGTGACTCCATCCAGCCACCTCATTCTCTGTCATTCGCTTCTTCTTTTGCTTTTGTCTCACAGTACATGACCACAATTAACAATGTTTTTGCAAAAAACAAATATTTAATTTTCAGCAAAAATAGTCCATGGCACACAATAGATTCACTTAACAATTGTCGCAAAAAAAAATAATCATAAAATTGGATCAGTCATGTGATGAATGCTTTATGACCATCATGAGTTACAACCATAGTAGGCAGTTTTCATTAAAGTCATAAATTGAGGATTACCTGTAGCCCTCCCTGTAACCTTACAAAAGCTGCAATTCTTTTACAAAGCATTCAGTGAATAGAAAAGCCATCTTGTTTAAATAATTCATTGTTCATCCATTTCATGATCAATCCTATTCTGTTTTATCTCAACAGCAGTGCAATGGATTATACCCATTTTGACTGTGCAACAGTCAACAGACATGTCCATGGTACACGTAGCTCTTAGTGTTTAGTTGAAAAAAGTTAAATGTTCTTTCACAGTGGAATATCTGTATTTCTGCTATTTCTTTTCTCTCCATATTTTCTTTAATTATTTTCAGGCTTTATATTTTCCCTTATGGAAATGCCTTCAATATATTGCACGTAAAGCTGCATCTAAATCCACCTCCATGTATTTTCAGAAGTATGTCCTGATTAATGTCATAATTTTAATATATTTAAATAGCACTTTTATTCAGATTATCTCTCAATGTATCCTGTAATGAGACACAATACTGCGTATTCCCCTCCATGCTATTCTAGATGGTTCTCTGGCCCTTTTTTGTACATCTTAGAGCTGAAAATCTTGAGGGGAAAGAAAGAATGGATGAACATCAACCAATTCCACTTTTTAATAGGAATGTCAAATTTGATTTAGAAGAAGTATAAAATCATTCATTTATTAGCTCGTTTAGATTAGGGGTGGGGAACTATGGCTGTTTTATGACTTGTGGATTTCAAATCCAAAAATTCCTGAGCCAGCCATGTTCAGCACAGGAATTCTGGGAGTTGAAGTCCACAAGTCATAAGGAGCCATAGTTTCCCACCTCTAATTTAGAAGTATATCCTGCTTTTAGTTCAGGCATTGATAGTGCTTTCTCCTTCCATTTTCCCCACAACAATACCACTGTACATACATTAGGGCAAAAAGAATGACTGGTGCAGAGTTACCCAGATAGTTTCCATGACTGAGGTGGAAGTGAATCTGTGCCTCACCATGCCTAGCACAGCCTGTTCATCACTATACTACACTGGCTCTTAATTTAATTTAAAATAGCTACATTTCAGTAGTAATCAGAAGTAATTTATGATAAATATATGATATATGCAAGGAGCCTGGGTGGCGCAGCGGACTAAAGTGCTGTTAAGTAGCACTTAGTTGCCAGCTGCCTGCAATTACTGCAAGTTCAAATCTCACCAGGCTCAAGGTTGACTCAGCCTTCCATCCTTCCGAGGTAGGTAAAATGAGGATCCAGTTTGTAGGGCCAATAAGCTGACTTTGTATAAAAAGAACACCGCTTGGGGGGGGGGCGAAAGCCCTACTAAGCAGGTATATACAAAAGTATGAAGGCTATTACTTAACGCATTGTAAGCCACCCTGAGTCTTTGGAGAAGGGTGGCATATAAATCGAACCAAGAAAGAAAGAAAGAAAGAAAGAAGGAAGGAAGGAAGGAAGGAAGGAAGGAAGGAAGGAAGGAAGGAAGGAAGAAAAAAAGAAAGAAGAAAGAAAGAAAGAAAGAAAGAAAGAAAAAAGAAAGAAAGAAAGAAAGAAAGAAAGAAAGAAAGAAAGAAAGAAAGAAAGAAAGAAAGAAAGAAAAAGTTTAAAATAGCTATGGTATATTGGCAGTATACTGATAACTCTTGCTAATATTTTTTTCCCTTAGACGAACCTGTGCATGCCAAGGATTAGACCCTGAATCTTGTGGTGCTTCTTTTTCTTTTGGTTGTTCATGGAGTATGTACTATAATGGTTGCAAATTTGCCAGAAGCAAGATCCCAAGAAAGTTTAAACTATTAGGTGACGATCCAAAAGAGGTAGGGTTGTCCTTCAATTATTTTTCCTGCAGAGAAATGGGGGAAGGGTGGGAGGAGAGGGAGGGGGAGGAGGAGAGAGAGAGAGAGAAACAGGGAGAGACAGAGAGGGACAGAAAAAGAAAGAGATAAGTTATAGTGATGAGATTTGGTACCAAAAGACTGGCAATGTCAACAGTCCATTTTTGTTTTCTTTAGTCTGGGTATTCGGCTTCAACTCTGCATTTTTTGTTGTTTTTATTTGTAAGTTTTAAACATTGCTCTTCTATATAAAGAATTCCAAGAACGGAAACAATACATAAATTGGATCAGTTTGGTTTAATATGGAATCACATTATTTAGAATTCAAATAAATATATTCAAATCCACCTCTAGTGTAGGTATTTTCAGTTTTTCCATTCTTGACAGATGTTGATTCACACCTTGCTTTTAAATATCCCTAGCGGATATCCCATTATTTCCCAAGATAATCTGTCATATTGCTGAACATTTCTTCTAATTTTAAGCCAGAATCTAGTTTCTTGCAGTTTTTATTCACTGATTCTATTGCTTTTTAGAACAACAGAGGACAACTGCAGCTTTCATTATCTACACAAAAGTCCTTCAGATATTTGAAAACAGCTATCATTTTGCCCCATGCTCTTCTTGGGAAATAGTTTTATGATCTGTTGAATCACATTACACTGAATGAAATAACCATAAGTGTTTTCAGAATTAAAGCTATTAGCTAAAAGTAGTAATTAACTGCTAATGAATGAAGTTCTTTTTAAAAAAAAAAAAATAGGAAGAAAAACTAGAATCCAATCTGCAAACTTTGTCAACTCTGATGGCACCCACTTACAAGAAACTGGCACCTGATGCCTATAACAACCAGGTGAGTAAAGAAAAACCAAAATGTTTGATAACAATACTAAGATTCGTTGCTTTATTTTACCAATGTATAAGTCTCCCAAGACTTTGAAAGAAACTACAGCACTTATAATGTAGAATTCATTTATGAGGCTACATGTTTCAAACGATCTAAACCCCAGAGCTCACTGTAACATCATTGCAAAAAAGACATTAAGAGCTGTGAATCTTGTTTTACGAAGTTTTCTCTCTGAAAACGCTATACTTCAAACTACGAAACTTTTGCCAGACCTATACTTGAATACTGCTCACCTGCCTGGAACCCTCACTGTATTTCTGACATCAATACATTAGAGAGGGTCCAGAATTTTTTTTACTAGAAGAGTACTCAAATCCTCTGCTCAAAATAAAATTCCCTATACCACCAGGCTTGAAATTTTAGGCCTTGATAGCCTCGAACTATGCCGTCTACATTCCAACCTAAACTTAATTCATAAGATTATTTACCAAAACGTCCTACCTGTAAATGAGTACTTTAATTTCAACCGCAATAACACAAGGGCTATCAATAGATTCAAACTCAATGTAATTCGCTCTAATCTTTATTGTAGGAAATATAACTTCTGCAATAGAGTAGTAAATGTCTGGAACACTATACCTGAGCCTGTTGTTAGTCTCTCTAATCCCCATACCTTTTACCTTAAACTGTCTACCGTGGACCTTTCATGTTTTTTAAGAGGTCCATAAAGGGAGCGTGCATAAGCGCACCAGCGTGTCTACCATCCCTGTCCTACTGTTCCCATTTATATGTACTTATGAACATATATATTTATATGTGTTTATGGCTATGTTTTGCTTATTTATTTCCTTTTATTTGTGCCAATTTTTTTTTATGTGTCCATGTCTATGTCTATACTGTTACTTGTTTCCTTGTACTTGTTGACAAATAAATAAATAAATAAATAAATAAATAAATAAATAAATAAATAAATATTATTTTACAATAATATGAAAAAATTAGAAATGGAATGCTGCAGTGGCCTAGAGGTGGCTGTGAGTTCGATCCTAGGTACAAGCAGTTATTTTTCTCCCTGGGCACACTGAGAATATATCTGCTGAACAAAACTCTGCATTGGTGACAGGAAGGGCATCTGGCCAGTAAAAATACTGCTATCTCTATTCAGTTGCCCAGACTCCACCCCGCAAGGGATTATGGGGTCATTAAATAAAGATGATGAAACAATTAGAAATAAACAAAAATTAACTGGTTTTGTTTCTGGCTACTATGGTGTACAATTATATCAGAAAGGTAAAAATTATGTTTCTTTATAGCTTTTATCATGGAATCCACATTGATGAAACATGGCTTGTTAAAGAAGCACAGTAGCATATTGTACATATAATAAAACCATTATTTTCAAGTCACAAAGGCTGCGTTTATATCAAAACTAAGTATATGATTGTTTTAGCTGATCTATAAGCCCAAACCTCCAGGATGAACAAATTGGAAATATCCATACATGCAACCCTATGATTCTATGATTTAGCACCTAGTATCAAATTGACACTGCATGATTGGTTTGCTATCATTGGAACTAGAGAAAGGAACATTGGATTGGTCTTCCTTGGGGCATAACAAAGTGTGAAGACCTTTCACAGTTCTGAACTGAAGAGATTTCCGGCGGTGACGTCAGCATGCATGGAGGGAGAGAACGGGGCTCCGTTCTTGTAGCTCAAATATTCCCAGCCAGGAAGCCTAAATAGGCACTATCAATCCTGGAGAGATTGATAGAAAAAAGAGGAATCTCCAAGGACCTTGGGGGGAAAAGCAATTGTCCTGAAGGTTCAGGAGAAACCTCTTAATTCTGGCGGGGGAAAAAATCAGCCATTTTGGCTGGCCCAAAGCGCTGACAGCTGAGGAGTAGGAAGCGAAAATTGAATCAACAGATCGCATTGGTACGAGAGGAGGCTCAAAAAAAAGTGAGATACAGTTATATTGTGGAACGGGGGAGCAGAGAGATTGAGACTCCAAAACCAGTGGCAGAAACATAGCCAAATAAATGCGGCGACTAAAAGGAAGAGGACTGGAAGAAAGAACTTTGACAAGCAGTGACTGTGGTGAATTAAAGTTGGTGAATTAATTAATGTAATGTTGGTGAATTAAATAATATAAATACAAGAGGTCCTTGGTGCTCTCTGAGTTTGCTTATTTTCTTGCAGACGTTTCATTATCCTAACTAGATAACATCATCATTGCCAGTAAGGAGTGCTGTTTGCTGTCAGTTTATATTCTGGTAACTTGCTTGAGGGTGTGGGTGGTCTTAGAGATTCTTTGGTTGGGCTGTTTACTGATGGTTCTTTTGCAGTTCCTTGATTGGGGTATTGTTTGCTTGATTGTTGTCTGAAATTAACCTTGGAGTTAATCTATATAAATATATTTGTGTCTAGATTGAATATGAACACAGAGCTCCTGAATGTCGCCTGGGTTTAAAAGAAGGTCGTCCATTCTCAGGGGTCACTGCCTGCCTGGATTTTTGCGCTCATGCTCATAGAGACCTACACAATATGCAGAATGGTAGTACATTGGTAAGTCAGCGATTCACCAAGCCATTACTCATGCACAACCAACTTCTTGCATTAAGTTCCTTATTTTTCATAATCTCTATTTCTATTAAGCTGGCACATGATGGCTACCAAGGAAAATTGTGAAATATTGCATCAGTATGAATGCAAATCCTCTAGGCTTTTAATTTTTTTAAAAAAATGAGATTCTCAAGGTTAATTCTTACACTCCTTGCTCCTGTTTGCCTTCTTGTTCTTTTTTTTAGTACAATGAAATAAAGTGAAATTGGAAACTTTAAAATATATAATTTTGATTGGCTTGTGTATTGCAGAATGTATGCATTGGAGTCCACAGAAATTTTGCTGTCAAGTTAGTGCATTTTTTTTTCAGACTTACAAGATTGAAGCCCTTTGATAGAAGTTCCACGTGCTCATAAAGAATATGTTATCTACAGTCATGTATTCATCTCATTTCTCATACATCCCTTTGGAGATCCAGCATGATGTGGCAGTTAAGGCATCAGACTAGAAACTGGGAGAGTGTGAGTTGTAGTTTCATTTTAGGCTCAAAGCCAGCTCAGTGATATTAGGCTAATCACTTTCAGCCTAGAAAGGAGGCAGTGGAAAACCACTTCTGAAAATTCCTGTTAAGAAAACTGCAGGAACTTATCCAGGCAACCTCCAAGATACGTGCTGGGACTGAAGAAAATAATAATCTGTTTTATCTGTTGCCTTTCCTTTCCATTTTCCCCCCAACTTTGCCACGCATAATCCTTTTTTGCTAATTCATCATCTCTTTACATCTCATGCCTAGCATTTGTGACTTTCTGTTTGCTGATTATTGCCTCAAAGGAGTAATCAAAATATATATTCTCAAGAGCTGATTTGTTCTTACAATCTATTGTATTTTAGTAAGTACTCCAACTCCATAATCCAAAGGATTTTTCTTGCTGCTTCTTACTGTTCATCTTTCAGAGTCATACATTATATTAGACCATTCCTTTAGCTATTCTGATCTTTGTTGTCATACAAACAGCCTTATCCTTCATAACCTTGTCTAAATTTGTAATTGCCTTCCTCCCTAGGATTAATATCCTCTTTACTTCTTCACTGCACTGTACATCTTTATCTATTCTTGAACCCAAGAAAACAAAACTATCTACCATCTTCACTTCTTCACCATCAACTGTAAGTTCACTTAGCATTCTGGTTGACGCTATTTTTTGCTTTTCTGATATTTAACATTAACTCAGATATTTCACTTTCTACTTTTTCTTTTATCATGGACTCTTCTGCATCTTTCTTACTTGGGCTGACAAAGTGTTATCATCTGCATGTCTCAAGTAGTTCATTTTTTATCACCAATTTTTATTCCAGCAGACATACCTTCTCATCTTTTTTCTATATTATTCAGCATCTTTCTTTTGTCCTAATTTTTCCAGCAATCATTCTTTTATATACATATTTCCCTCTTCTACTCTACTCATCTTCTGATATATTAACTATATGTCATACTTTCTTTTCCTAAAGTCATTCTACTCTCACTTTAATTTCATGTCTTCTTTTTCTTCCATGCCTATTTGTCCCATGATCTATTCTTGATATTATCAACATATGAGTCATCCCATATTCAGAACCTTTTATCAGTCTTATATCCTTCTCTCATTCAACTTTTTATCATAAACAATCACCTCAATGACCATTTTAGATTTACATTCATTTTTCTATGTATGTCCTTAAAAGCTCATAGTCACCAAATAGACACTATTATTTATTTTTGAGTCCCTGAATAACCCATATTATTTCTATACTTTCTTATCTTATACTATCCATTTATTCCTCACCAATTTCTTCTGGAATCTATTTATCCAAAATGTTGCATTTTTTCCCCAAAACCCATATTTGATTCTTCCACTACTATCATTTATTGTCACCAATCTATAGATTCATATTTCCATAGACACAACAATCTAGATGAATTACATTTTGATACATTTTTTTCCTTTCATTCCTAGTTAAGCCTATGGTTTCCATTGTCTGCATATATCAACTTTGATCCACAAAATCAAATTTTCTTCTTCAATTACATCCTCCCTCTTTTTCGCAGTTTTATAGACATGCAATATAACTATGCCATAGTTATTATTTGTTGGGATAATAGATTCTCCACTGTCATTTGATCCTTAATTAAAACTTTCACATAACATTTTTAGTTAAATAAAGAATGTGTAGTCAAGGTTATTTTAGTCATATCTATTTCTTGTACAACATTCTCTACTAATGGTAATGGACAGAATTAACCAGTTTTGGCCAATATGCTATTTGTAGCACAAACTTGCTCATTCCATTACATGCAAACTACAGTCTCTAATGTAGGGACTGCTTTATAAGCCAGCATATTATCATATGCATTGTATCAGCATTTAACATATTTTATATTTGATACAGAATTTTTTAGTGCCTTCTATCATTGTGTTTGTAGTAAACACAAATTTATTTAAGTATTAATAAGACCCATTCTGATCCACAAGTTTCACATTTCTAAAATATCCAGTTAGATATGCTTAATTTCCACTTAGGCAATTCTGTAAGATTTCCTCAGTTAATACTTCTTTTGTTATATGTTCCAGTTGTATGTGTCATTCTAAAAAGAGGAACTCATTCTAGCACTTGAGATAAACAGACTTCCTTGGTATGGCCATGTTGTCATTTCTAAACCTACTCATGAAACTTCATTCTTTCCATTAAGGAATTCTTCTGACGTGACAATTTCATTATATGGTTTCCAAATTTCTCCATATATTATTCTCGAAAGCCATATAGAAGTGGTTTGCCATTTTCTTCTTTCAGCTTTGTTTTAAGTTCCTTCTCTTAGGTGGGCTGGCTGAAGAGAGCTGAGAAATCCATTCATTTGCTAAGGTGAAATTAGTCATTTCCCAAGGCAATGTAAAAGGAATACAATACTGATCTCTTGAGCATTGGTTGCTAGATATATTCCCAAAGTGCTACTTCTAGATTGATCAACAAATTTGAAATCCTGCAATCAATCATTCCCTTACTGATTGACATATTTTAATTTTTGTTTTGTATTAACAGAAGTTTAATAGGATTAAACTGAAAAGACCATTCCCTCTTCAGCAATGATTAGTAACTTGTATGCTGATGTGAATGTGTATGTAAAGAAGTACACCTCATGTAAAAAATTTTTTTTTCAATTTTAACATATGTGGACATATCAATATTTTACTTCCATTCAAGCAGCATATAAAAGTAAAGGTGGCACAGCTGAACAAAAACATGAAAAATTGACTTTATTATTTATTACATTAAATTATTTGCAATTATTTATTAAATAAAAAAGATAATGCCATTCACTTCTGTAGAAAAACTAAGTTGGCTCTAATATTTGGAAGAAACAACCCCGAGTTGCAAGGTTTTTTATATATGAAAATTTATGACATCAACTGCCGAGATGATTTCTGTTCCTCCATGCAGGAATTTTTCCATTGTGCAATTTATGAGGGACTTCTTGCATGCACATCCCATTTCAAATCACCTCACAGCATATTAATGGAATTTAGATCTGGGCTTTGGCTGGCCATATCAGCATCCTCCATTTCTCTTCTTTTTATCCATTCCTTGTGGATTTACTCACCAATATTTTCCCAAAGCTGTGTCATCAGTTCATGAATTTTATCACTGGAACTTTTATTTCTCAGGAATATTAGGTGCTCCTAACATGAAAAAGATGCCAAAGCCTTCATTTTATACAAACATACATAATGTACAAATAGTAGTGAATACAGATGTTTATATAAAGTAAAATAAAACTACTACTAAAACTACTACTAAAATAGTAGTGAATAAAGATGTTTATATAAAGATGACAAAATGGAGTCCATAATGCCCCTAGGTGGCGCTCGGTGACCTCTAAATGTTTGGGTTTTTTTTTTTTTTTTAAAGGAGAAAAGTAATGAAAATGATGGACTTTTCTAGAGAACAAATCCCACAAAACATTCTTACCTGGTCTAGATTATTTTAGATTGCTATATTTTTAAAGAGTTTTGTTGTTGTTGTTTTTAATGGGTTATTGACCCCTGAAGAAACTATTGAAAAATAGAATATTTATGGTTAAAAATAATCCAGGTATAATTTAATTTGACAAGCTGCCTCTCAGGAAAAATTAACACTGTGACTTTAAGGTCATGAATGATCACAATTGTTTGTAGGCCAAATTTAACCTTGCGTCATTTGTCGGTCCAAATGTGTCTTCCGTCATATTATTTTAACAGGTCTGCACACTAACCAGAGAAGACAATCGTGAAATTGGCCAAACACCAGAAGATGAACAATTGCATGTGCTACCCTTGTATAAAATATCCAATGTAGATGAGTTTGGAAGCGCCGAAGGTCAGGAAGAAAAAAAGCGAAATGGTAGCATCCAGGTTCTTAGTTCTTTTCGACGAAAAGTAAGGATGCTGGCTGAACCTGTAAAAACCTGTCGGCAAAAAAAGTTGGAAGCCAAGAAAGCAGCAACAGAGAAGCTGGCCTCCATGGAAAATGGGACTAACAAACATGAGAGAGAAAAACCAGCCTCAGCACGTCAAAAGCAGGTCAATGCAGAAGCATCAGCTCATAGCAAGCAATTAGCAGGTATGTTTTTAGTAGGCATTAGCTATGATGTCAGCTCTGTCACATGTACCATATGGGCTATTTGTACTTTGAACATGAGACTTATGAGACAGGATCACGTTGAAATAAAATTGTATGAAAATGGCATATATGTCTTAGCATGTCATTTATTCCCCAATATGTGATTAAGCAACCAGTCTAGGTTTAAACCCTGCTACAGAATCATTGACTTGAGTTGAATCACAATGCTTTCACTTTGTTGTTTGCATGTGAAAATGTCAGAATCTATGGCAAAATGAGAGGCTTATTTAGAACCAGATGTTTAGATATAAAGTCAATTGCATTGGAATCAGTGGGCCTTTCATTCCAGAGCAAGCAACAGTACATTTACACTGGAGAAGGAGGAATGTTGATTTTAGTCCAAGAGCATTATACAAGAAGAAGGTTAAATAATTGCTGTTCTGATCAAATTGAACTATGGGGTGGTTGCTATTTCAATTTTAAAATATGCACATGAATGCATTGGTGGCATTTTTTGTTCCAATGCACTTATCTAGTTGAGTCCATGGAATCAGTTCTTCTCGTAATGAACCAAAATGTTTTCTTATTTTTCTCAATTGTGTTTAACAATGTTCTATGTATAATAATGTTAGCAAATTTCTACACAAGTAGAAATCCCTCAGGGATATATGTTGGAACTGGCACTTCTTAACTTTTAAATGATTCTTTTAAATAAGCAGTGAGGTGGCCAAGTTTGCTGATGGTATTAAACTACTCAAGATTTTAAAAAAACCCAAAAGTGAGTTGGATGTATCTTCCTTACAGTAGGAATTTGATTTCAACAATAATTAACGAGAGAAGATTTATATCTAAAACAGAAAGGAGATCTATTTACAGGAAAAGTCTATCACCTAGCTAGCTACATCCTACCAAAAGGAGAATCCATATTTCCTCCATGATTGGAAAACTGGCTGAGAGGAGAGAAATAACTCCTTAGATCAGCAATCATTTTAAGTATAGTATATGTAAAAGATAAAGAAGGGACAGAAAGCAAATTCTTAACTTTCTTTCTGCAGCCAATCCCTTCTATATTCATGAGATGCTGAGGAATTAGGGTTTCCAACAAAGTGTCTATAAAGAACTTAAGAAGGATATCTTTTGGGTGGACAAACACATGACAAATGCAATTTAAAGAGGTGCCAAATAATGCATATTTTGACAAAAATCTTACTTAACATATATATTGATGGGGTCCCAACTAACCAAGAAAAAAGATTTTGGGAGCACTGTTGATTTAATTAATTAATTTAATTTAATTTAATTTATATGCCGCCCCTCTCCGAAGACTCAGGGCGGCTCACAATACATTTTAAAAATAATTATAAAAAAACATTGAAAAATTAAAAACATTAAAAACTCATTCACGCCATTCATGGCTGGATCTCGCCAGATCACAAGAGAGAGATCAACGGCCCCAGGCCTGCCGGAAAAGCCAGGTCTTCACCACTTTTCGGAAGGCCAATAGGGTGGGGATGGTCTGGACCTCAGGAGGTAACTGGTTCCAGAGAAGGCCCTCCCCCGCGGGCCTGCCAGCTGGCATTGTTTAGCTGATGGGACCCGAAGGAGACCAACTCTGTGGGATCTTACCGGTCACTGGGAGCTATGCGGCAAAAGGCGGTCTCGAAGATAACCTGGGCCTGAGCCATGTAGGGCTTTAAAGGTAATAACCAACACTTTGAATTGTGACCAGAGACCAATAGGGAGCCAGTGCAGCTCATGGAGAATTGGTGTAATGTGGGTGTATCTAGGTGCACCACAACAGCTCATGCGGCTGCGTTCTGGACCAACTGTAGTCTCCAAACACTTTTCAAGGGTAGCCCCATGTAGAGCGTGTTGCAATAATCTAACCGTGAGGGCATGAGTGTCTTGTCTGGGTTAAGTGATAGCTGAATGAAGATGTTGACACAATATGTAGCTGCTTTGGGGGGGGTGTGAATCTATGCTGGGGATTATAATCATAATCATAAGTTTATTTGTCAAGCATATATAAGATAACAGTAAAAGTATAAACATAATTTGAATACATGAAAAGAGTAAGTAAAAAAGAATATTAGGACAGGGATGGTAGGCACGCTGGTGCACTTATGCACGCCCCTTACAGACCTCTTAGGAATGGGGTGACGTCAACAGTAGACAGTTTAAGAAAGTTTTTTCACTCATAACTGAAAAAGTATATAATGTTTGGGGGGAGATGCAGAAGGGAGCAATCAAAACCATCAAGGTATTCAAAGAACTTTTTTATGAGAAAAGACTAGAATATTTGAAACCCTTTTGTTGTTATTGAAAGGGGACATGTCAATGTGTATAAATTATATATATGGCACCGAGAAAGTAGAAAAGGAGGGGTTTTTTTATTTTGTTTTGTTAACTTTCACAAAGCTCCTGGGGCAGAGCTCATCTAATATAGCTGATTGGCATGGGGTTTACAATAAACAAAAGAAATGTTTTTTAGTACAGTTAACCATTCAGAATTCATTAGGCATAGTGATGACTGATCATTGGATGCCTTTTAAAGATAAAAGTAGAAATGTTCAATACTTGGAACAAAATGTACAAAGGTGCTTCAGATCTGATATTTGGTACCTTCAGAAGCTTAAAGGAGTCAAATTTTTACCTGGGCTCTTAGAGCACCAAGTAATTGTGCAGGCTCCAGAAAATACATGGTTGAGTTGAGGGAACAAGGGAGTGTAAAAGTTTGATTGCACTCTACTACTGCTTCCTTCTATCCTTTCTCTGAGCCTGTTTGACTATATACCCAAGGAAAGAGAGGGCTTCTTTAAAAAATTTCCAACAGGTACAAGGACAATACTAATGCCAGATTTGAAGCACCTTTGCTTACATCAGAATTCAACTATTGCACATCTCTAGAAGGGCTTTGAATACATGTTTCAGATGAGTACCTGTGTTATTTTTTCACACCTGCTTCCAAGCCCTCCTAAGATATCTGGGAAACAAAATAGTGTCAATATTTGAGCCTTGGCCTGATTCTTCAAGGCTATTTTTTTTTCCAGAGAGGAAAGATGCCCGCAACATTCATATCTGATCTACAGTAATTTCCCATATCTCATATTTGTGGCATCATTCAATTGTACAAACTCTTCCATAAAAACTAGATTGGGCAACATCTTTCCATAATTGAATTAATTCTATACAAATGATAAATATTTTTTTTCCAACCTTAAAGCTCTTTCCTTCTCTTTCTTGTGCACAGATCTTTTGCATCTTTCAGGATCAGCTGTGTCTCAACAGCAACTTTACCAACATCCATGCCAGGCTCTCCCTTCTAAACCTCAGTCAAATCATGGCAATTTATACTCTGCTTCTGATCCTACCAATCTCTATATGAGTCTGTCTAATCCAGCTAATCCATATTCAAACTCTACACTTCCTTCCAATCCTTATGGAGGATCCAATCCAATGAATATCTACCAAACTTCATCACAACCTACAGGAACTTATTTGAATTCTTCCAATCTCATAAATCCCTATTCTATTCATTTAGGTCAAAATAACCAGTATCCTCATTATCCATGCAATGGAAGCTTATCAATAGACAATTGTTCTTATTACAATTCCTATTCTGCTCAGACTCAGCATATGGACTTGTTTAGGTATCAGAGCCAAGATTCTCTGTCTAAACTAAGTCTACCTCCAATACATACGTTGTATCAGCATAGGATTGCAAATAATCAGGACTTTGGGCACAGGTACTTGAATTATGGAAACCAAAATGTGCCAGTAGATGCTTTCAACAAATGCACCTTTAGACCAAATGTTCATCATGCAGGTTCTTTCCCAACTTACGCCCAGCATGAGACTGATAACCCTTTTATGGACATCACCTCCAGGCTGAAATCTAATCTAAATAACCCAGGTGTGGACTTCATGAATAAAAATGGTGATCATCTGTATCCCCCAGCACACCTTGCCCATGACTATCATAGCATGTTCAATGGCTCTTCTCATTCACTCCATCTCCAGAACAAGAATAGTCAGGCAGCTAATGGGCTGTCAAACCTCTTTCCAGATTTTAACCATAACAGAACTGCTTCCGAAGTAGGTGCAAATAAAACAGAGGTGCTCAATGCAGAGGATCCTGATGATGTCTGGTCAGACAATGAGCAGAGTTTTCTGGATCCAGAAATAGGTGGTGTTGCAGTGGCACCATCCCATGGATCAATCCTCATAGAGTGTGCTAAACGTGAACTCCACGCTACAACCCCATTGAAAAATCCTAACAGGAATCACCCTACAAGGATATCACTTGTCTTCTACCAACATAAAAGTATGAATGAGCCAAAGCATGGTCTGGCTTTGTGGGAGGCAAAAATGGCTGAGAAGGCAAGAGAAAAAGAAGAGGACTGTGAGAAGTATGGTCCAGATTATGTGCCTCAGAAAGTACATGGCAAAAAAGTAAAACGGGAGCCTGCTGAATTAAACGAGAACCTGGAACCAACCTATTTTAGATTTATCAGGTCCCTTGCACAAAGGACGATGTCTCTTACCACAAATTCCACAGTAACTACATCTCCATATGCCTTTACACGGGTTACAGGGCCTTATAACAGATATATATAAAAGTCACCTTTGTTTATTACCTCATAATTATTCCCTTAGATTAGATTAGATAGAGTCAGAGCAAGATACAGTATTTTTTTTCACTTGTCCTTGAGGAAATCTTCTCCATCCCAGCAAAATAAATAATTTTACCACTGCATATATTTGGAGAGCTGTCACAAGTAACAATTCGAAACTAAAACCAAAGTATCCTATGCAAAAATTAAGAAGACATAACAACCAACTGGGACTGAAATACTGCTATTACTACTGGTAAAAATAAAGACCATAATTTTAAAAAATGAACATCTGTAACCATTTTGCTCAAGAGCAGATGAAACAAGAAAGAGTTTTTGTTTTTAATGGTGAAAAACTCTGTAGTATTTCTTCTGCAGAAAATTGAAGATTCTGCTAGGTGCTCAACTGATGCTATACTGAAATGCTTACTGGAAATGTAGTTTTTATCATGGAACATTTTGTTTGTTTTTTGTTTGGCTTTTGTTTTGGCTACAATTTTAATATAAATTAATATTAATCAGGATAGCTATGCTTACAACAAAAGCACTGAATTTGTTTTGGCTATTCTAAAACATGGTGCTATATACAAAAATGGTGTCTACTGCAGCATTTAGACAAGTTTTAATGTCTTTTATTAGCACTAGGTAGGATAAAAATAGATCCTGCTCTCCTTAATCCATAAACAAAACCTTTACATTTATGTTGACATCCGGTTTTTTAAAAAATCAGCTACAACTCATTGTTTAAAGCATGGGTGTCCAACCAATAAGCTATGGGTTGGACACCCTTGTTTTAAAGCATGGAAATCTGGATGAAACAAGGGCAAGATCCAACAAAGCTATCATATAAGCACTGCAGGTAGAATGTGCCAGCTAGAATAATGAAAGCAAAAAGGCACCTTTTTAAACTAAGAAAACCTCGCCTATTCAGGCCCAAAAGAATTAATCCTCACACTTCAATGGTTGAATAGTGGAACCAAGGGTATCTTTCAAACAAACAAAGCTTAACCATGGATTAGTACTGGGGTATGTATCCATTTTGGTTTATCTACAGGAACAGTTGAAATGTTAGGATCATGTGTTTGGCATCCCATGTTCTGTAGGTGCTATAGAATGTTTATCTATTTACAAAATGCAACATAATTAATTAACTTTAACAAAAAAGCTTCAGATGACACAGTAAGTCTGGGTACGATCAAGCTTTATTTTGCCTGTTTCTGATTTAGTTTTATGTGAATTAATGAAAATAAGCACAAGGAGGTTGGAAGAATTTCATGTCTTTTTATCTTCTAGTTAAATCAGTTCTAGTTTATCATGTCTAAATATAGGAGACCATAGTTACATTAAACCATGATTTGCTAATAACTCAGAACTGGACCACATTTTATGAGCTGGGTTGAAAAGCTATATTTTAGGCACACTAGAATTTCATAAAATGGAATGCAATTATCCCTGATTAAATATGTTGAATACATACTTCTAGTCTTCCTGTGGCAAGTTATCCTAGTCAGTCAACTAATCAGCTCGCCAGTCTAGGTCTACATATTTTCCTTATTCTTTCAAATGATCAACCACAGTAAGAATTTGTGTCTGAGTACATGGTCTATTTTTCCCAGCTCAATTAAGATTTTTTTTAATATAGCAAGTATTACTAGCAAATAATATTCTTTTTCAAGATTAATTCAGCTGGGACATGAATCAAAGCCTCTTGGTAACCATAACAAGATAATGCTAATGACTGCTACTTATTTAAAAAGAGATCCTTTCCCATTCTGGGCTAACATTTTGAGAAATATTTTCCTGGTGACTTAATACCCCACAGAATTGTAAATCAGAAAAGAAACTGGTCTTCTTTTGTTTGGATAAAGCTATTGAAGATAACCGTTTTATCTTGATTATCAGGAAAATGCAAATAAGGCTTTCATGCTGCAGCCCTCAATTCTCATTCTGCTACTTCTCCATGCTAAATAAGCTTTGTTGGATCTCACCAGAATTCATTTCATTTGGCAAAGATCTGATTAGGAGCAGCAAACAATAGAAAAATATTTTGTGAATGGTGCTTGAAAAGCTCTTTAGGTGGTGGTGTGGTGTTGCCACTGAAAACTATTATCTGGGTGCTAAAACTTTCCAGACATTTACTGTAACATTAAAAGAAACTTATTTGAATAAATGTATTTAGTATATACATATTAAATTCAATATTACCCAGTATCACTGGGAGTCAGGTAGCACATACATTTAATAACTTATTGTTACAATGATTATTAAGAGTAATCTGCAGTTAGAATCATAGTCTAAGATTGGTGAAAACTTATTAATTCAAGACTTAATGAAGAACTTAAGAATTATTAAGATAATACCTTAAGGATGGAGCCAGTTTCAAGCAAGGTGGCTTTCTGTAAAATTAAGATATTCAGGTTCAATAAATTCAAGGTTTCCAAATATTCAGTAAATCCTTTAGATAGGGCTGCAACGGCTCCAATCAAGATTGTTATAACAGCGGATTTCTTGTTCCATAAATGTTCAACTTCTACAAGCGTTCAAAAAATTATTATTGTTGTTATTCAAATCTTTTGATCTTTGGGGCAAATTTATATAAGATGAAAAGGGGAGAAGATATTTGTAACTGCAAACAGCAGGAGAAAGTTTTAAAGCCAATTATAGACACAAACTGAAACCATTTCTCAAACACTCACTAAAAGAACAGAGAAAGAATAAATCTTTTATTTACTCTGTTCAACCAGAGGTAACGGGATTTTTAAAAAATACAAGCTTCGTGTTTTGGTGCTCGTCTCACACAGGTATATTGTAAATATTAATTTTAACTATTTTAATGAGAAGCTCTTTCCTGAAATAGTACACATTTTAAGTTTTTAATATATATATATGTCACAGACAAAAACGTGCTAAACTTGACCATTTCATCATGATTTTGAGCTATTTTTTAAGGATTCATAGCATTCTACAGATGATGGTTACTGCTTTATTTAATCATGGATTATTTATGTTATGGTATATGGCACTGCTCAGTGTAATGTGCCCATATTTTCTAGGAAATGTTGAGAAGAGTCAACACAAAGAAATACAGGGTTGTACTGTAGGAAGTTAGGGGCTTGGGGAGAATACAGTAGAGGCAGCTGGCTTGCTGTGATGGTTTTTAATTTGGTAGTTTGTATAAAAGTATAAGCAAAACAGATGTATAGTAACTTGTAAACAATTTTAAAGCAATGTTTTAGTATTTTAATAATGTATAAATATATAAATATATATTATATATCTATATATATATATCTATATATGGATTTGGAACTGAATTCACATCATGGTGCTACTTGGCCTGTTCTCTAAAAAAAGTGTGCTAAAACTATGTTCAAATTATGTTTGAATGATGTTCCTACTTGCCATATACCTCAACTTTACTTGGCAGTAGGATTTTAAATGGAGATATATTAGATATCATGTTCCCCTGATTTTCTGCTTCGCTAATATTTGGGAAAAAGAAATTCTCACTACTTGATAGCAAGTGTAACTTGAATTTTAACACATAGTTTTGTTCTAAAAATTCAGGGATATATCCTCTCACAATTTCCTTAGTAAGCCAATGTATCATCTGTGTATGTGTATGTAAAATTTTATTGTACAGATTGATAAATATTATTGTTGAACCCTTTTTTAAAATTGTACTTTATTTTTGAGAATCTTAACTGTTTTTTAATTCTGCTTCTAACTTTTACTTGTAAATGTATTGATGGCAAATTTTGCGGAGTAAATCCATTTCTTCTTTTTTATGACAATGGAAGTGCATTTTTAATATTGTAAACTCTGTTTGAGGTTTCTTATTTTACATCCTCGCTCTTTGCATGTTACATATAAAATAAGTCATAGATTGCACTGAGCTGACAAGAGGACAAAATAGGTATTTGGCAGCTGACCATTTGCAAGAAGGTTTTGCCTTTCCCAAATTCTATAAATATGTTTTCACCTGTGATTGCTGTTTTATTTTATGGGCTTTCAAGCCAGAGTTTAAAGAACAGAGAGATTCATGGAGAAAAGACTGCAAGAAAAGACTACCAGCCATGACAATTGTAGACTATCTTTAGAATTGAAGGCAGCATATCTCTCAATATTAGTTGTTGAGACACAACATTTGAGAAAGAAGTATAGTATTTGTATTCTGTATGCAATATTTTGCATCCTGTTGGCTACTGTAAGAAAAGCATGCAGGACTTGTTAACGTTTAGTCTAGCCCAGTTGGTCTTACATTAGGCATAGGCATTTCTAAAGTATGGCAGTGCAATATATATACATACATAAGAATGTAATTGTATGTAAAGGCCCTGATTCTGAAACAAGTTACTCGTATTTTTTTCACTCACTATCAAAGGTACATGGGCATACCATATCTGGGCTGCACAAATCAGAATAATCGCTACATGTCAGCAAGAGGTTTTCTGCCTGTCCTTGCTTCCATTCAGTAAATTATTTTGTCATCCAGACTTTTGCAACCCAGCTACAGCATGCCTAAGGGAACCCAGTGCCCTTTGGATATTGCTGAGCTTCCACCTAAAGCAGTTGTAGAGCAGCAAAATCTGGAGATGTTCCTCACCCTTGTTTTACACAATTAATTTGCCAATGATATCAGTGGAATTATCAAATTGCATCAAGAGTAACCTTTGCAGGACCAATGCCTTCTCTTTGTTTTTTTCTTTGAGTTTTATCTAATTATAATTCTTAATCAAGTATGTCATGATCAAGCATATGCAGTGCTACAACTACATGAATCCACTGCTCTCACTTTAAATATATTAATTATATCTTACACAGTCACCCCAAACTGAAGCTCTGAGGTACATGTACAGTAGATGCCTTGGTATGGGCAAGGGCTGTTACATTTTGAAATAATGTCCATGAGGAAACTTCCTTCCTTTGAATAAACCAGAATTCTCTCTTCACTGTTGTATAAATGTATAATGGATTGGAAGACTTGTCTATCAAGTTAATTGAACTTTAATTATTTTTTACATGGGTCTATCTGACTTAAAGCAATGTTGATTAAAATACAAACCCAAACAATACAGGCAGTCCTTTAGTTATCAACTGCTTTGTTTAGCAATCATTCAAAACTGCAATGATTGGTAAACATCCTCCCATTTACAGCCATTGAAGCATCCATGCAATAGGTGCTGTTCAGGTGCTTCAAAACCAGCATGCATTTCTGACTGTTGCAGCATCCCACAGTCTCATGATTGTCATTTGCGAGCTTCACAACTGACTTCCACCACTGCATTTACAGAGAATGTGGAAGTGAAGTTGCCAAGTCACAATTACAAGATGTCTCTCTGAACAACTACAACTATTCACTTGGTTCTAAGTTGGCATGGCAGCATGGTTCTTAGTGACTGCAATGCTTAGAGACAGAGTTGCCAGACCCAATTGTCATTGGTAAGCAAGGACACACCTCTATATGATAGGCAGCTTTGCAATTTTTCCTACCTTGTGCAAAACAATTTATGTACTCTTGTCACTGGTAGATTCTACATAATTTCACGTTCATCATAAGTGGAAACACATTGTGTAATTTAGCATCATTTTCGGGATGCAGTGGTCAACTCCAAGTATAGTGCAACCTGTGCATGCCCAAAGATATCTACAAGGGCATCTTTGTGTCTTCCCTTGCCAAATTGCTTACAAACAGAAGACAACTTCATTGAGGATGAGATGTCAGGGTGAGGAGGAGAAATGTATCCTGTGAATGAAAATTGTGATACTAATGAAAACTTGCATAAGAGTGAGACGGAAAGACAAAGCAAATACAGCGTAGCTTGTATAGGATTATCAGGTTGATTATAGCCATACTTGAAATGTTTCTGAGTGGTGTCAACTCTACTTGAATGATTGTTTTCTTCAACTTGATTAATGTGCAGCAGCATTAAGGTTCACTGTTAAACATAGTGGCTATCTTTTATAGAGAAACTCCCAACAGTTTGACACTAAGATTATTGACTTTTTTATGTGTGCATTTCTAAGTTTATGTTCTGCTGTTTGGGTATTTGTTTGGTTTACTCTCACTTAAATTTTATTTTGTCCATTAAAAATCTGAGAATGGTTATAAATATTGTAAGTATTGTAATGAATGCAGGTTATTTGAAAAGCTGTTTTATTATATCATTCCTGATAATGCTGAAATGTGGGTGTTTTTAATAAAATTTATATTTATTTAATGCACTCTGTCTCTGAGAACATGCTTGGCAGATTGAATCCTTCTCTACTTTCACTTATTCAGTAATTAGAAGATTTTAAAAAGTGCTTGAGCCTTCCAAAGATCCAAAGGCTGAATGAGAATGGTAACTGATTAGTGACATCCAGGGGTGGGATTCAGCCGGTTCAGGCACACCGGTAGCTGTGATGATCAGCTGGGAGTGAACCGGTTCGCTCCAATGATCAGGTGGGCCTGCCCGCCTGCCCCTGCATGCTTTACTTACCTTTATCCTCTCAGCTGATTCGCGCGGCAGAGCAGATTGCCATGCCTCAGCTGTGTTAGTCTCCAGAAGTAACGCGGAAATTAAGTTTTGTCAAAACTGCACATGCGCGCACAGCGCACTTCAGGCGTGGGTACACACAAAACACGTGATCACTGAACTAATTGTTAAACCGGCAGGATCCCACCACTGGTGACATCTGCTTGGGGAAAGCAGCACTGCTTCAAATACGTGGTTACATGTAAATCTATTCACAAAACCGCAATGAATGTAAATTTAAAATTATTTTTTTTTCTAATGGAAAATTCTGAGAACTAGTGAAGAGTACTTATGTGATTGGTGAGAATTTAGACGATGGGACAGACTGCTTTTTAATAGTGACCAAAGTGGACCTTAAGAAAAAAAGGAGCATAGAAATGAAGTGTGAAAGATGCAACATGAATGACTTTAGTAATAACAGACACAAGTCCTGTATGAAAAGTGTAGGTAGGTAGGTAGACAGGATAAATAGAAAACAGACAAAAAAAAAAAAGAGGCTGTGGAAGCTTCTTGGAACAGCATGAAAATAATTATAGAGTGCAACAAAAGTTTGTGGAGTTACACTAGTGCAAAGTATGAAAAATCAAGCTCAGTGGAGGTTGTGAATCAGTAAATTGCATATTACAACAGTGATTGCTGCAAAAAATGAGAATGAGAAAGATTTTGTATAATCAGTAAAGGCAGAATAATGTGCAAAAAAAAATAGTCAAGGAGCAAGGAACTGTTTAGGTTAAAAGAGACAGGAAAATTCAGAACTATTTTGATGGAAATAAAATACTGTTTTCAAAGTTGAGGGGGGAGGGGGCGATCAAATAGGAAGCTTCTAGCAAAGTAAATGAGGTTAAAAATGAAGTAATTTGAGGTGAAATTGAAATAGCAATAGCACTTAGACTTATATACCTCTTCACAGTGTTTTCCAGCCCTCTCTAAGCGGTTTACAGAGTCAGCATATTTCCCCCAACAATCTGGGTCCTCGTTTTACCAACCTTGGAAGGATGGAAGGCTGAGTCAACCTTGAGCCTGGTGAGATTTGAACTGCCAAATTGCAGGCAGCCGGTAGTCAGCAGAAGTAGCCTGCAGTACTGCATACTAACCACTGTGCCACCGCAGCTCTGAAGGAACATTGGAAATACATTATAGATTTTTATGAGGAAGTAAGAGTTACACCATCATAGTCTGATTTATGGAAATGATAATGCTATATCAAGCAGTAGAGTCAAAACAAATGCTACCCAAGATACTAAATTTAGATTAAAGTTTTTATGTTATAAATGTTAGGACAATGTTGTAAATGTTATAAATGTTAGGACAATGGTAAAAGTAGCAATGCTGCCTAGAGAAATACAAAAGTAGAGTTTGTCTGTGATGGGGGTCCCTAACCCCCAGTTCGTGGACCAGCACTGGGCCACAGCATGCTAGAAACCGGGCCACGCAAACAAGTGAAGCCCCGTTCACGCGATGAAGGCAGCATGCAAAACCATGCCCTCTCCAGGCCACAAAAAACCTCTCTCCACAGAATCGGTCCCTGGTGCCCAAGAGGTTGGGGGCTGCTGGTGTATGAAGTGGTTGTATTGTTTGTTTAATATATGTACTGAGAATGCATCTGTACCAGATGATTAGAATAATCTTTTAGTTCTTCCTTTATACAATGGGAAATGTGACAAAACGGAATGCAGAAACTACTGGGAGTTTAGGGGTGTGTCTAGGAAGGTATCTGGCAGAACTCTGAACAAAAGGATACAGGAAATAACAATGAATCAAATCTAGGGAAAGTAGTGAAGTTGTATGATTGATAGGAAGGCTTTTCCTCTCACATTGATTGATTTAGAGAAGCACATGGTAAAGTGAACATGTTTCATGAAATTGCAGAGTTGCAGGTTGGTTGTTGAATACAATAAAAGAGCTATGTGAGTGAAATGCAACATGCAACATAATGAGATACCCCAAATGTGGTTGCTTGCTATTGGTGTCCTACAATAACAGACACCCCAGTCCTAGGTTTACCAGCATTCTAGTCTCATTAAGAAATGCTTCCCAATGTTCGGAAGTGCAAGGAACCAGAAACAATTGGAGCCATGGAATAGACTTTGTCAAATTGGACTCCCTCCAGGTATATCAGTTTTGGAATTCCCAAATTCATGGCCGTTGCAGAGCTTTCTGGAATTTGAAGACCGCATATCTAAAAGAATCTGAGAGTGGTGTGATGGCCTAGAGGTGGAGCTCTCGCCTCACAATCAGGAGGCTATGAGTTTGATCCTAGGTAGAGGCAGATATTTCTCTCTCTGGGTACGTTGAGAATATATCTGCTGAATATAATTCTGCATTGGTGACAAGAAGGGCATCCGGCCAGTCAGATCCATTTAGTTGCCCAGACTCCATCCTGAAAGGGATTATGGGGTCGTTAAAAGGAGATTATGATAATGCTATCTAAAAGAATCTGACATTGAGAAGGCTACTAAAGATGCTTAGTAGCATCACTGTTATTATTTGGAACAGAAAGAACTTATAAGAGATGCAAGAAAACTTTGACCATATCAATTTTTTTTAGATAAATATGTCCTTTATTTTCAATGGCTTAGTTTTATACATAGGTATTTCTGGCTTAGTAAACTCATCCATAAAGTCTTAAGCAAAATGAGGGAGGAGGTGACTTGCTTTAAATGAAGAGCAAAGGGCTGGAATGATAGCTAGTGAAATATTGCTATCCCCTAAATTTCAGAGGGGCATTGCCTCTGCAAAAATGATTCAACAAAAGGGACATAAAGCGTGTAAAGGGAATGATTTGGGATGCAACTTTTGTGCCAATTTTTTAAAAATGTGCCCACCACATAAAAACCACAAGGATAAAAATGCCAAATCCTTTGTGATTACAAAATGTAACAATGGTCACAGTGTTCTTATTCGTGAGCACATTTCTGAAGTTGTAAAATTCTGTGAATCAGTGTCAGTGAATCAGCTTGCTTAGTTCTCAGGTGTCTTGTTCCCATCTTCTCCCTTGCCAATCAACCATAATTAAATATGTAAATGCCAGTTCCCAGGATGTTATTGCTCTCAGAACTCTAGAAGAGAGTTATGTAGATGACCCTCCATAGGCCATGTCAATGAAGCAATAGTCGCAATTTGGCACTGAAAAGAAGTCATCAACAGACACACTCCAAATAAGGTTTCTTGTTCTCCTGACTTAATTATAGCATTTAAATATTTTAAGAGATATTCAGCCAAATACAAAGCAAAGATTAACCCTTTAGCATCAGCTTTACTGCCAAGGATGTCTCTGGATTTCAATATATTTTAAATCTCCTTTTTGGGTGGGAGGTGAAGTGGTGGGTAGCTTTCCAAGTCTATCAAGGAAAAAAAGTCAAAAATAATTGAGAATGACAGGAAAATCCTCATTCACTTGCCTTTCCAATGTTCCTTATTATAGTGAAAGGATAGAAGAAAGCTCCAGGTTTTTGAGCTTCAAAGTCAGTGATGTTACAGTAGCTTCTTTCCATTTCCATTCCAGGCTTATTTGTACCCACCTGTTTTACTAATAATGGATACCTTTACTATTTTATTTATTAAATTTACGTGTTACCCATCTCACTATCAAGCCACTTACAACATTGTAAAAGCAAGTACACAATTTTATAACATTAAATACTAAAATAAAGATTAAATGGGTTAAAAACCAAAATATAATGGGGTAGAAGTTGGATCTTTCTCCTAGTCCACTTATCACCTCCAGCATGGAAATGTGTAAGTCTTACAGGTATGGCACATAATTGATTCTCGTTATTGGCTAATGGCATACTCCATACTTCACTTTCCTGTCTCCTGTTCTGCAGTGACTTGTTTTCTTCCATAAGGTTATAAGTTAGTTTTTTTTTCTCCTGTTAGGCCTTGGAAATTCCAAAACTATACAATATTTTTACGTCTGTTACTTCTGGTCTTCACTCTTGTTGGGCTTGCTCTCTTTTTTTTTTTTTAGTTTTCTTCCGATGGAAAGCTACTTCCTATATCAGTTCCTGTTCTAGCATTTCCTTGATTCGATCAGTCTTTATCCTGCATCCTCTTTTATTTTGGCAGCTGGAGAGAAAGGGCATTCCTAGTGACTTCTAAATGAATAGCAAACTTTGCAATCCTTGTCAATAGTTTTGTGCTATCCTGTCATCACACTGTGAAGTTTATGATTTGAAACATCACTGCTCCTGTAACAAAGAGCCCATGTTTTCCCCTTGTTCCTGATTGCATTGTGCTCTAAATTTCCGTGAAAGAGAAAGTATAAATCAATCGCTTTGCTTTTGCTTTTTGTTATTTCAAGGAGCAAAGAATACAAGTGCGATCATTTGAAGTATAAGTATAGAAAAAGTTAGCTTTTAAATAAGTACAACCCATTTGTTTTAGTAAAAGCAGAGGGGGAAAAAATATCTCAGAATCTCAACTGGCACAGATATGAGCCAGTAAAAAGGCCATTAATGTTCTTTCCACTGAGAACCTGAAAGAAGCAGACTCATTGCTTGTTCAAGGGCCAACATGAAGGCGAGGGAGGAAACCAAAATTATATTTTCGAATTCTTCCTACTGCAGTTATAATTGGGCTCCCCAAGGTATCCCATTCTCTCAGAAATCACCATGACCATTTTATATCATTGGCAGTCGAGGCAAGTTCGTTTTGTAATAATGAAGACAGTTTTTTCAGAAGTGCCATTATGGACCAAAAAGTCCT